TCATCATATTTCGATTTCGATCGTAACGACATCCACAACCATTGTGTTTTTTTAATGAAAAGAAAGAACCAATTCGAATAGTTGATATTCGCGTGGCTGATTATTTTTTCCACGATGACGTAAGTCCGACCTCCAAGTTTTAAGAACGAATGATGCGAGCAAGTTATACCTTGATCCTCGAGAAATGAGTGTGGTCTGTTGTCGTGTGCTTTTTCGACCAAGGTCAAAATGTAACCTTTGCCTCAGGTCAGTTCCGTGTTTTTGAAAATACAATGAACAAGCAGATTAACAAATAATAATTAACAACTATAAGATAGACGTGCAAATTATATCACGTAACTTAAAAAAAAAAAAAAAAAGAATTTCTCCATAGAATTAAACAATTAACGTAATTTCGATCGATTAAAGGAAAACGTCAAACGTGCCATAAAATATGAACGACGTGGAAAGCTTCGTGACCTTAGATCAAATGTCACCAAGTATCGAACATAGCGATATCTTTTGCTCGATCATACGCTTTCGTTTTTCTTCTTCTTTTTGAAAAAGAACGCTTAAAAATTTAATTCTGATCAAAGTCTATATCTTTTCATAGCGGCAAAACGTGATTCCCCGTGGATCGATAATTTCTGTCTAGTAAGCTACCGAAATGTAAATGGGCCGAATATGAGAAGCGTGGCTGATATTCGACCGAGGCAAATTGCTGATTTCTTCTGAAATAAGCGAGTTTCTCCGCGCATCGGTACACGGGATTCCCGTTTCAATTTGACCGACGAATAGACTTATAGAACGTATCAAGCGGTTTTCGAAGCTCTCTCGTCTTTTACCTGCAATGCACACGCGATTAGAATACTTGGCTTCGGCATATCGGTATAGAAGAGGAGAAAACGTAAAAAGGAAGAGAACAATGCTTACGGATAACGTCATCAGGCAAGTTGCCGTATAATACACGGCATATGGTAAATAGGTGAATATAATAAAAGCCAATATCTATCATTGAGATACGCGTGATAATTTCACGATATATCTTTTATATATAAATATACGTTGAAAATACAACGTATCGTATCGTTATTTTTCTCGTCTATTTTTTTTTTTTTTTTTTTTTACCACACCATGATACACAAATATAGAATATACAATTCGTTAGCAAAAAACTGGTTTTGAAAAATTCCATTTTAAATTCTTTTTCTCTTTTGCGAAAAATTTATTTTCGCATGTTTGTTATAGTTGGACAGAAAAACAACTTATCCATAAGACATAATTCTATCTATTACTCCTAACCGAGAACCCTCGTAATGACCTTAAGAAAGATTAAGCCGCAACATCTGATCGATTTTTTATAACCGCATTCGGTCACACGATACTTCCCTATGCATGGTGGTGGAATATTTGCATGCACGATGTGCATTTATTATTTCGTTTCGTCCAACATTTTTTTCCTTTTCTTTGTCGTCCATTCATTTGCCCGTACCGATCGACCATTTTTCGCAGGTATGCAAATAAAAGGAAGGAATGACTAATCTTCTGAGACGGAGACGATATTAACAGTTAAAAGATTCACGGTCACGAGGAACCGATGCAAAGTAACGTCAATCAGGAAGGTAAAGAGAGAATGATGGCGGATGAAGGAGAGGGAAGAAGGGAAGGGGGGCTGTTTACGCACGGGGGAAAGCCAGAAGGCGAGGAAAGCGGAAGGTAAAGGAGTTCATCGTTTAACGGTAGAATCTTGAGGACCTCGTCGAGCTCCCCGTCGTTTCATCCCGTTTGACACACTTACGAAGACCTCGCACGATCGCCTTCCGAGTGCAAGGTCGGCTAGTTGCCATTAAATCTCTTCTTGTAATGAACATTGTTGGCTATCTCTCGTTCCTGTAGGGTTCTACTTATAAGGTTCTTTCTCTTTATTTCTCTTTATCTCTCTTCTGGGTCAATGTGCAATTAAAAAAAATTCAGTGGCATTCGAAGCATGAAAATCAGGCTCGCGGAAGAGCATGAAATTTCAAATCTTTATTTATAGGAAATATTTATGTGAAAAATCTCGATCGATCCATTTATATTATATCTGATGAAATTTCTTTTAAAAAAATTCTATTAAATTTAAATGTTTATATAGAACAGAGTAATAAAAATTTCAATGCTGCTTACGAAAAGTTGTTAAATTCATTTTTCTGATATTTTCAATTTTTAATAATATTTTTATCGGAAAACCTTGATAACAACGTGATAATTAAATATCCTTGCGAATGATCTCATAAGATGTGTTGTAAAATGAAATATTTCCGATACATTCTTCTGCTTATTTATTTTTATTACGATCCAGCAATGATAAGAAGAAAATTGTTTGTGAGAAAATATTTCTAACACAATTGTACTTTCAGTCGAGTAGATGCGATAAGATTAGCGTTTGACATTGCCTGAAATAGCGAAGGCTTGATTAGAAGCAACACACAGGTGAAGCAAATCCGAGGCCGGATTCAGTCGATCCGATTGGCGAAAGTTTAATCGACAACTCGTAATTGGACAATCGAAGGAAGCCTCTTTCCCTCTAAGGAGATGTTTTCCCAGAAAATGTGGTGAAAGAACGTTCCAAGAAATGGAATCGAGTTCGTTCTCGATTAAATCGAACGTTGTATCGTCAGTCTATGACGATTATCTATTGTTGCTCCAAAGATAATATCTGTGATATATAATATAAAAAAATTAATTTCAAAAGAAGGTTAATAGATTTGGATTATTTTCCTTATCTTTCGATTATGAAAATCGAAGGGCAAAAGTTAATTTTCATGTCTATTTTTATCGTTAATTACAAGAACGGAGAGCGGAACCTTCCAGGCCATTATTTTCTTATCCTTCGCTTGGTTATGTGTGAATGCTTCTAATCTCGTTAAATTAATATATGACTCGTGCAAATACATCGTTGTGGTTGTAGAATGTCCATAATAAATGTGTGAAATTGTTATATTTTCAGTGACGAATTACGCGGGAAAAAATAATCACAAAAAATAATAAATCCGATACGTGTAAAAGCGAATGAATACATTAATATGAAAATATACTCCAAGATAAAGAATCGATCATTTCTTTCTTCTAGAGAAGAATCAATGACGTAGAAAACGCGGTCAACCAGAATCTCATTTATATGTATATGTATATACGTATTTTTATTGGCGTTATGTTGATTTCTTTGCAAGAAATGGTTCCGTATATATTCTTTGATATCTCTTGTGCTTTAATTTTTTTAATTAATCATTGACGAATACGAAAAGCTTTCGAACAATGGTTACGTTCCACCATATTCGAAAAGCAATTATTAAAGTTCAACTTATCGAAATCGAGTCACCTAATTGATTGGTGATTTCAAATTGGTGGTTCAAATAACTAAGCCACTAAAAGGGTAAAGAAAATAAGATGAAAGAAGCGGTTGGACGCTACTTGCAAACGATCAATGGTCACTGAGAGCAGCTTCTTTATTTTCGAAACGGTAAACGATGCACACGGATCTTTGTCACAGATGATTGTTTCGGTGGCGTTCCTAATCAGCAAATAAAAAAAAAAAATAATTGAAAAGAAGAGGAAAATACAAGAAGAAACCAGTCGTTTGTTCCACGCCCATATCGTGCACGAAACGATCGCCTTTTTTTCCTATCTCTTCCTTCTTCCCCGTCTTTACTTCACGCGTGGTACAAACTCACCTTGATAATCAGCTCGATCTCAGGTACGTCACCGTTGCTTGTACCGTTCTCGTGACTGTCGTCCGCCATTCTTTAATTAGGAGTTTCTTGTTTAGAAGAATAGCACTTTTTCTCGTTCTCCGCAGTTCACTATCGAATAGGATAGGTACCTCCCTTCTTCAACGATTAACTGCAACAGAACGCGATGGAAGCTCGCGGAATACTGACGCAGCGCGTGCCTCGCCACGTTCACGACAATAGCGCCTCACCACGGAAGAGTTTTCAATTTTCCGTTACTGATTTCAGTCGGTATTCTAGCAAACGCTTATTCCAATATTTTATAATATTCGTAAAAGCAATTAAATTACTGATATAAATATACATTAAAATATATATGTATATATGTATAATTAATATATAATTATTGTAGTAGAAATTATAAATAGAAACATGTTATAATTTAAAGTATTAATAATTTTTTTGCTGTTTTTGCTTTGTATTTAACAATTATTAAACATAGTTATTTTAAAAATGAATAATTATTTAAATAATTTTTAATATCTTTTTATTATATTAATATAGTCTTAAAATTATCTTAATATTCGATATAAAATTTATTGATAATTAAAGAAATAAACGAATTAATAACGTATTAATCGTATTCAAATGCATCGAGAATCGATATTATCACACGTCAATCTTCAATATATCGAATAGAAAGTATCGATATTTAAAATTCGATTATTTGAAATAATCGAATTTATTTCAAATAAAAAATTTTTTCGCCTCTCTATTAAAATTAAAATGAAGGAATTCAAATGTAGGAATTAAATAAAACAAATTTATCAGCTACATTATTTATGCATTATATTCTTAATGATAATGCTTAAACAATAGAGCAACAATAATAAAACAGCATTTCATATGTACATAATTAATAATCTTCCTGTTATTGTAACAAACATTAATTTTTATAATCTTGAACATTGCATGATGTATCTATGATGTATGTATAAGTCTATAAAATTTATATCTAAGATTTTTTATATCACGACATTCACACCATTTCACGTTTTCTTTATATTTTTTATTCCTTTATATTTCTTTTATTTATTTATGATGATAAATGAACATAATAGAAAATGGAACAGATAAAAGAGGGTTGAGAAATCTATAAAAAAGATTTATATATTAGATATACAATCATCTAATAATAGTATTTAGCTATTATTATTCAGTATAATAGTATTTAGCTATTATTTCAGTTAGTTTTAATATTTTTCCTTTTGCTAATTCAGAAAAAATGCATATAAATGTTCGATTATGTTTACATAAAAATATAATATTAATTTTTGTTTAATTAGACTATAATAATAACGAAGACAATCATATTTTATTTTCAGAGTGATGCCGTATTCGATTTAATCGATATTAAAAAACGATAATATCACATGATTCTAAATTCTGTATATTCTTATAGAGAAATACAGAAATATAATTGAAAAAAGTGCTAAAATATTTTATACGGAAAATATTTTATCTATGAATTTTCATTTTATTTTATGGAATAGATTATTTTTTAACAATAAAATTTATATGTTACGAATAATAACTTTAACAACAAAGCTAAATTTATGAGCTTAAAGACAAATTTCAGTTTTATTAGTCCATTAAATACTAATGAAAGGCACAATAGTTGGTTCATTCATTTATAAATGTGGAAAGAGGGAAAACATTTGATATGAAAATTTGTCATTTGATCTACGATAAATTGCAATAAGAAATTCTCGTATTATTATATTCTTAAGCTATTAAAATAATTCAAATTTTTTACAAAAAAAAAAAAACAAATAATATTAATAAAGGTACATTATACAAATATCAATACGATTTGTTTTCTTATGCTTTTAATATTTGAAAGTCTCCTGATATTGAAACCAAAATTACTATCAACGTTCTCAATAGGCATTTGATAAATATCAAATATCATGATAAATATACAATTAGCATAATTATAATAGTAATTGACTAATTTTGGTTTTGCATAAATGTATATTTCTGTAATTTGCTGTAATGTATGTAATTTGCCTATTCATTTTTTTTGACTTTTATACTTTTCAATATACATATAATAATGATAATTGCCTTTTTCTTAAAAAAAAAAAAAACATTTAATTCAATTTCGCAGTGGATCCAAACTTTCCAACGAGAAATCGTCAGTATCAATTGATAAGCCCCTACTAAAACCATCCTGAAATATGTTAAATATTAACAATACCTATAAATGTACATATCAAATATATTATTTATGAATTATACCTTCATTTCAAGTAATTTCTTATCTAAGAGACCGATCGCATTTTCTAATTCTTGTTGGCTAGGATTAGAAATAGTTGTTGTAGCTCCGAATTCACCCATTTCAAATGGATCATTGAATTCACTTTTTGTGTTTACAGGTGGTGTGGGATTAAAAGGAATGCTACCAAATAAATCTTCTTTTACTCCATTTTGACGTCTTGAATCCTTTGCTTTTGGTGGTGGAGCCACTAAATGATATGAAAAATATGTAATAGACATTTAACTTTTATTACTAGAAATAAAAAATAATTAACTTACATAATGGTGGAGGACTAGTAGTACCATTGCTTTGTGAGAAAAAATTGGAATTCGAAGATACTTGACTATTTAGAAGATTATTATGACTCGTTTGATGATTCGCCAAACCATTAATCGCACTTTCATATGCTCTAGGATTGAAATCTTCCTCAAATTCATCCATCAAAAGTCCTTCCAATTTGGTACCAACTGATGGTGTAGGAGTAGGTTCATTTCTATTTATACAAAATCATTAAATAATAAATATTCTAAAATCTTAAAATACACTTATTAAAATATATATTTCTATATACCCCATAAAATTATCGTCAAACGTTTTTTCAAAACTTCTTGGAGGAACTGGAGGTGGTTGTTGAGATCCATTGGAAGTATTTCCATTGCTATCGTTGTTTAAACCAAGAGAAGATTTATTTCCCAATCCATTTACTTGCATTGTTTCATTTGTAGCCCCAGGCACGTGCAGGATATCCGGAAGATTGTGTTGTGACAAATATGCTGACACGTCAGCCTGAAGACGAGAAATTCTCATGAAATTATAATATAAGTTTAAAAAAATTGTTTAACATATTCTTTTCTAAATATACATGTTTTAAACTAACCGATCCTTTAATAGCAGCTATGTCTTGTAACCGCTGACGATATACGTTATTTTCATGTTCCAATCGTTTTATTTTTTGTTGCAATATCATGCAACGCCTTTGTGTTTCTAAATCTTTTCCAGATGTTTCTAAAAATCGCCTATAAGCTAAATCAAATGCTTGACCAATTGTCAACGTGATCTCTTCAGCTAATTTATCGCTAACAAAGACGAAACATGTATGTCTCTCGGCACCTTCTTCTTTTGCGATAAAGCTGAAGAATTTTTTTTCGCCTTTATCATCAGCACAGTATGATATTCTATGCAGTGGATACTGGTGCATAATCCGCTAGAAGGAAACCATTCAATTCAGAAACTTTATAAAATAATGATACATCAATATTACAAATATCAAAAATTTGTAATACTTTTGACGAAGTTTTAGTTTTAGGTTCTTGAATAGCAACTCCATCAATGCTTATAGTGAGTTCCACCTTTGGAGTCTTCGTACCTTCACTTTTCCTTAATTGTTGATTAAATTTCAATTTACAAATGGCTTCTTTAACAACTTCAATACCTTTGGGTTGATCCACTTCTGTGCTGCCCAAATACTAAAAAATATAATCAATGAGTGAGAAAATCAAAATATAAATAAAGAAAAGAAAATTTGTAACACTCAATGTACAAATATTGCATTGTACATTTTGTATTTCTTTTATATATATATATATATATAATACAAAATATATATTTGCATTATCATAAATCATTGCCTCATAATATCTGCTTGTCCGATATATAGAGAAAAGATATATACATATTATGACATCGAGATCAATGGTCAAGACGATATGTAACATCGACAACGTAATGCGTTCACGCAATTAGTAATTTGTAACATTAATTGATTTAGTAATTTTATCTTTAGAACGAACAAATTTTTTTTGACATATATAATTTTATCATCTATTATTTAATTCAAATCGCTAATGCATTTTTAGCATTGTGTTAAAAACAACATTATATTTCATAATGCGTGTTTATAATATTTCATAAAAAGATATATCAAAAAATACATTCAAAAATTACAAATTATAAATAATAATTGAAAGAAACCATTATATACAATGATGGTTAATAAGTTTTTCTTGATAGAATAACGAAATCTATTTATTCGTTATTTCGTTCGTTCTAACTTCAACTAGTTTCATTCCGGTCGCGCATATATCTATTCTTAATTTATAAAATATATCCAAAATATAATTATATAATTTTTTTATAAGTTATTGGGAAAAATTTCAATAAATTTTTCGCCTGCTAAATTGAATGTTTTTTCTTTGCTTTCGAAATTTAAAAAATGACGGCCTTGCCATGCTAAAATATCGATGATAAATAAACATAATGTTATTTGCTTACAATTTATATTTAAGATTTGCGCTCAAACAAAATGTTAAATGACTTTGACGGAATGAATAATTCCTCATATCTTTGTCGATACACGTTATCGGCAGAAAAAAAAAAAAATAGCAACTCCATTTGAGTAATTTGCGTAGATCAAGCGATCCAAGATTAGTTCCAGAAATTTTTGTTTAGTCTATTGAAGACTCAAGTTTATTTCTCTAATATATTAACTGTAATTTTCCACCATCCCTTTATAGATAATGACTAAGCAGGGCACCGTGATCTTGACATTTCGAGAAAGACTGATCTGGATAAATATTGATAACAATGTGGATAACATCGTGATCAGAATTTCTTTATTTTTTATTTACAATCTGCCGATTTTGTAACAGAAAACAATCTTACCACATTGCTATATTTCCATGTTACGATTTTGATATCGTTATTATGAAGTTTGTAGAGAATTATTTAAAGTTTCGACGAATAAATGTATTTTTTTTTTTTTTTAAACGATTATTAAAATTGTTATATTTCTCTTCGTTCTCTAGCGATATAGGAAAGGAAAAACCTTTTTACCTTGACTAAGTAGGCGATGTGACCTTTTTGGAGTGCATCTGGTGGGTGTATCCAATTCCTATTCGTTCCTATAAATAAAAATTATCAATTTTACCGTTGTATCACCGCATG